ATGCCACCACCGAAGTTACAAAAAATATAAGTAAACAAAAATAATTCTTCAACACTATAATTTATTTTCCCTTCCATGAATCTCCTTCTCTTGTTTGTTAATCATGGTTTGAAAAAAAGCCGGATCCTTCAAGCTCGTTTTAATTTAAAAAAAGAAAAATTTTATAATTTTGAAAACTTTGATGATGCGAAGACAATCTTTAATATAATAGTAATTAAAATAAAATATTTATTTCTTCGCAGAGTGAAAATGTATAATCCATCTCCAGATTAAGAAGGGGCGGTACCCTTCTAAGTTGCTCTAATACAAATTCTCGAGAAAGAAGAAAAAAGTAAGTAAAGAGGCGTTTCATCTCTGAGTTGCTTTATATATAATTTTTCTTTTGACTTAAGTGAGGGTTCAGGTGGTTTTTCAGGTGTATCGGCCGCAAGAATATTTTAGTGGCAAAGTTCCATTGGGCAGTAAGTCTATGGTAAGCATTGATTTCATTCCGGAATGACATACCTTTTCTCTATAAAAATGTTCAGGATAATTAACCCCGCCTATCGGCAACGGCGGCAAGTGTTAATTAAGGCTCGTGGAAGCTCCGTTAAGGCTTACATGCCACTTCGTTAAACAACAATTACCACCCAACTGCATAATCGGTTTAAAAACTGTGTACGTGTACAGAGGATAAATGAGAAGGTTTTTGGGCTTGATTCTGAACTAAGAAATTGCTACAACAATTTAAATGTTGATCATTTCTCTGCATTGGTATGAAGTTCCCAATATTCCCAATTTTTTATATCAATTTCCCATACATACTAAAAATATTTTGGGAAGTGTTTAAAGTGATGTAGAGTGGAGAGAGTAGAGAAAATATGGCAGGATATACAGTTTTTGACCACATCGTTCGATTTAATGCCTTATTACATAATTTTTTGGCGCTTTTGTTTAATTGCTCTTATTGATTTTGGTTTACAAATTCAAATCGATTTTATATGAAAGTCTGATGAATTCTTTCGTAAAGATAAGAATCTAGCTTAGTACATTATTCCCAGGTGTGGCCGGTGCCAAAAAATAAACAACATCCGTAAAAAGAGAATACGAGAATTACAATAATTCAATGAATTGAAAAATGAATGTCTAGTGCTTCAATTACAAAAATTTGCAAATGGTATTCAAATATGTTAGTGCAAACTATGCTGATATCTTATTCCTAACCTAAAATATCGAAGAAAAAAAATTTCATTGCCAAAAGGTGCTGTTATTTGTGTTTATTTACTTTTCTTTCAAGATTTAATGACAAGAGTTCATAATTTTATAATTTTTAAATCATAAAACTTTTTAAAAAATAGCGTCAGCTTGACTGGAACTGGCGAGTTGCAGTCAAGATCTAAAAAAGCCAACAGGATGATTAGCAAAACGTCAGCAAGTTCGACCCAGCAAAAACCGACGCAGGAGGAATCCAGAAGTTTTGTAAAAAGCTTTACAGCCGATGTTGGCTAATACGTTAATCGGCAAAGAAAGCGATCAAGAAATTTAAATCAATGGAAACTCGCGCATTTTGGATACGATTGTCGGAGTTGGGTCATTCGATGAAAAATTACCACCGCCGGGAACAATGAGGAAGAATCAGATACTCAAAACTGGGGCCGAAACCTTCTCGATTCTGATGGGAGAGTGAACATTTTAGAGTGTAACGTAATAGATCATATTCACCATCAACACCGGAAGGTCTGAATATTTTGTCTTTCACTATGTAATTACCAAAGTGCCATCAATGAAACGGAACCGGATCAAGAAATTACTTTCTCGATCTGTTAACGGGAACGACCGGAAGCTACAGAATATTTTTAACATCTCACTCGTGGTGTAAAACCAGGGAATAGCCAGACCGATTTAAGGAAACAGTTGTTTAAAAAATGTAATGGAAGATTGTTATAGACGTACGGAAAGTGTCTCATTATAGTCGCATGAGTGAAATTTGCGGCACGAATGTTAATCTCGCAAGTGCAATCTTCTTCCTACTCTTCGGGCGTGGATTTAATTGTACCCCGGTAACGTGGATTAACGGGGATTCAACACATTCCAAGTCAACAACTTAGCAATGCAATACCTAGCATTCAGTTTTAGAATGAAATGTTGATGTTTCTGAGAAAGCTGCAATAGATGTCAGGTTACGTTTACTTTGGACTGACGCTAGGTCTTATGATCTACAAAACCTATTATTTTCGTTTCCTAAAATTAAAAAAGTAAAAGAAACAAAATGAATAATAAAAATATTACATATATAACGGGTAATATGGTATAAACACAGGTAAACCACATTTCACTTAAGCAAACGATAGTTTGCAGCAATTAAATAAAATCCGTATTATTATGAAAATAGGCCTTTATTAGAAATTGATTTAGTTTGATTTTAAAATTCTGCCTGGTTCTGTATTTTTGAATTTAATATAAATCTTTGTTTGCTTCTAAAAATATGAATACTATGTTGGAGAAAAAGTATGCCGGTCAAAGTCAACAATCGATTGCTCAGGCTCAGGCCGAGCATGCACCTGAGGGCCCGCTTCTGGCTTTTGAAGACACCTTCATCTGTGGAGGAAGAAGAGCCTCGATGTCACACCGCGTATTTAAACTTAATTCAATTTATGCGTTCTATTAAAGTTTGAATGAAGACCTCTTCCGGATTTAACATAAGTATCCTTCCAACACAAAACAGTTCAAAGTAATCGTTGTTTTATCATGCAGTTTTTATATGGAGAGGTGTACGTCGGCCTAAACTCCAGTTGTACTAAGGTTTAATAAAAGATTGGTCACATTTTTTGCCAATTAGTAAATTACCATCAGTCTATTAAATATCCATGTATCACCATGTGTGTTTAAACGTGGGTTAGTTATTCCCAGATTTCACATCAGTGTGCGGCGCTTCACATTACCTTTGTCCACTATCTTGAGTTCAACCTTAACTGCACCGACAAACCAGATGACAAAAACAAATCTTTGAAAAAAGTAAATCTAAACGTTTTAAAAACAGGAAAGAAGCGTCCAAAAAACTAATTAAGCTGCGCTGGAAAGGAGAATTGCCATTATTATAAAATTAACGTCAGTATATCGATATTGAAATATATTAGCATCGAGAACGATCGCACTTCTTCCTCGAAATCGGGCGCATAATTTATCATAATAGGACCGTAATGAAATGTACCGTTTATGCCATAAGAAATGCTAGAGCAATAACAAAAGATATTTCCTCACGCAAAATTATAGACTTACGGAAAGACAATAATGTAAAACGATATACATTGCGGTTTTGAATAACCCGTGTTAGAAGAAACTTTCAATTCATTTGATTTAGTTTAATTTAGTTAACGTGATGAAATTTTCATTTGTAGATTATTAAGAAATATAACAATTTCAATTCAGGTCCGGAAGTTTTTTTTTTATTAATATTAATGAATGAATTAATTAATTAATTAAATTAATAAATATTTACACACAAATATATACTTTTAAAGAACTGAACACATAAGCTGAATAAGAATAAGTAATAATATAGGGCACGTACAATTTAAAAAACAATAAAATAGGGTCCCATGATATCTTGACCTCGCCTCATACGCTAATTCTGAAGACAGAATTCAATTCTACTCAGACTGCTTCATAAGCAACAGTTTCCTTCTTTTCCATTAGAAATATAAGTGTAGCTCGAAGGAGGTCTCAAAATGTATCATATTTCTACCTATCTTTGCATTTACTTACAATCAAAGTTAGAAACCTACATTTTACCGGAAGGCCGATTTCGAAAACTAATTGTCATAAATATCAAAACAAACTCTTTGTAAAAATTTCATTTCATTTCAGATCCGTACCTAATAACATCCAGAAGCAAAAAGTAACCCCCGTATTCCCTTGCCTACATGAATCGAAATGCATTGTGCAGCGTTATCTATACAACGACGATATTGAAGGTATTGGAAAGCAGTTGGTAGTGAAAAACGAAATATCTATTATGTGGACGAAACTTGGGATATACCGTTGGTAGAAAATGACAGGATAAAAATTTAAAAAGCGCGATTCAAGCTCGAGATGGTTCACATATAATAAAAGCACCCTCGAGACAAGGTGAAATGTTATTAATTAAGAATTGGTAGGAAAAATAAACTTGTCACTAGCATTTCAGTTCAAACGGGCTACGGACTATCATGAAGACATTAGTGTTGATACTTTTGAAGACTACTTCCAGCAAAAGCTAGATCTTACTTATTTATAATACCAGCGACCGCTGAAGAAAATACGAAAAAATGGAAACACCGACATCATTCATTGACGTACTTGAAATAAGAAGCGATTTCAGAATGATATGTAAAAAGACAAGCGAAAAATAAATAACAAAATGTTATTTTGATTTTAAATGTAATTTGACATCCTAAATAATAAGTTAGCATTTTATATTAATAACAAGACGTAAAGTGTTTATTTTGCCAAAATCCGACTTTTTTGGGAGTTCTTTTATTTATAGATTTACCTAATTTTTGTTTCTAGGACAGTCGGTTTCCCTAATACTGTACCTCGTTACCTTTACCGGCATATTTATCTATGAACGGGTTAGAATATTTGAACATTGCTTTTAATCGAAATTAAGACTGTCTGGTAAGAAAATACCTGCCAGCATAGAGCACTTCAAACTCGACGCGTAACAAGATTTAAGCATTTATTTATAGTATCTTTACTTAAAAATCGTGACGGGAAGGTACCAGAGTTAATAGCCGATAAGTATTTTCCTCTTTTCTACGTGCAACTCGATAAAGGCAATTGTTCGTCGATCGGATATCCCAAGATGGTAATCGATCGTTATTAATTAAAACTAACTAAACGAATGATCCGAGGACGAGTTAACGGTGTCACCATCACAATCCAATCGCGACGACGGACGAGGCGGTGGCAGAACAAGGGCCCTTTGGCTAAGGAGGTGGCTGAAAAATATAGGCCAGTGTGTGTGTGTGTGTGTGGCGGAACAAAGTGAGAGAAGTGAGCTCGTCGAGTTCTCTTCCTTGCAGCCGGAGTTGGTGAACGTCCACCGCAACGATAACGCGTGCAGATCCGTCGTACCTCCTCCTCGGTGTAGTGAACGTCACCCGCTGCCGCCGCCGTCGCCGTCGTCGCCGTCGTCGCCGTCGTCGTCGACCATAACGCGAACTTGAACTTGACAGTGAAATCACGAAACGATGGGAATTTTTAGCGGGTGGAGTTCAGTTGCTATAACTGCTGTTTTCACGTTGCTGGTCGCTGTCCAAGGTAATAATAAAATTCGGTGTCCAAATTACTTAGAATTTTTTTTTTGCTTACTATTTGATTTTTATTTTTTTCCATAAATAAAATTAAATATTTTACAGAATGACTTTCTGCCCTTTCTTAAACGAACTTATTAAAAACCTGAACATTTTTCTCAACTTTTCAAGGACTAAACAAAATTATAATTAAGAAGACATGTGAAGAACTGTCGATTCGCTAATTTCTAAGCAACAGTATAAAAAAAACTAAGCTCAACCTAAATCTAAAGAAAAGAAGTCTAGATAAAAGAACAAGAAAGAGTGAGAGAGATGTTGATAAATTATACAGGGTCTACTAACCAAAACTAATGAATTAATGAATAAATAATTTAAGTAGTAAAATGTGTATTGAAATAATCAGTACTTTTCTTCGTTCCTAACTTGTTGATTTCTTCCATGCTCTGGATTAGGATAGGAGTCTAAATAAAACTTTTTTAATGAAATACATATTTAACACCCGGTACATTATTATATATTATTTAAATAATAATACATCTTTTCTTAAACCGGACAATTCTACGGAGTATCTAAAGCGATATTTTTTTTTATAGACTTCCTGGAGGCTGGAAGTAATTGGTCAAAATTAAATAATTTTTATTAATGTGTAAAGGTTTTCTTAATTACCGTTTATTATATTTTGATATAGTAAGTATAATGGTCATTCCTAATTTTTGATTATGAGTACGGACCTGGACTTAAGTTGTTTACCGAGATTGGGGGGATTTCTACTATTTTTAATCCAGGCAATCGAGAAAGATCCCATACACGTTATCGAGCCAATATTAATGAATTGCACAGTAGTTTCATGTATTTTAGGATAGGATGTGGATGAAGTTACGAGAGGAATGTCAGAACTATTCAGCTGTAGCATAACACCTTCAGAATTTAGCACTTATTTTAGATACAGAATTGAATGGAAACATTTGCGACGAAAAAACATGATTAGTTATAGAACGCTGTTCTTATCCAAGTGTCTAATATAGAATAACATTAGTTAACAATCTATTAATATGTTTTAAATCTGGACACAGTAAAAATATGTTTTTAAATTAAAATTATTTTTCTTTGTCATATCAATAGTTATTGTACAAAAAATACAACCAAATTAATATAATACGGAAACTAACATATATTCCATTTTTACTAACCAAATTTTCCTTTTTTATATTGGTATTAGTTAATAAATGTCTTCTCTAGTCTACCATACTTTTTCGATTCTTGCAAAACAACAGGAACACAATCACAATCAGAAACACAGAAAATCTTCCGAATCATCTAATATATCTCCACCAGTAAATGTCCTAATCGTCTTAGTACTACGCACACCTGTTCAGTGCATAATTATGTATGTTCGGGTAGAAAGAAGAAAAAATATATCGTTAGATCAGATTCAATCATCAATTTTAATTTTCTCACATATTCGCCATAAGCTGCAACTAACAAATTGGACTGACTAGAAAGTTTGCCTGCTCATAAAATTATATTAACCGATCAACGAATTGAATTTTTCAAAAGAACATATCATCACGAGTCAAGATTTACCATTGCAGGTATTTACTACATAGAAAGCAACTTTAGCAAGAGGAAACCGGTATGCGGAACAAAAGATCAAAATTCAAGGAAGGTTTCAACATATTTAGTGCTATTTCCGCAACAAAAACATCTTTGGATCTATATTTGTTAATGGTAACCAAATATGACCGAAATATTATGATTTGGTGAGAAATAAACTTGAACAACGTTTAGAACCACTATCTTAATGCATATGTAAATCTAATATGGCAACAGCGCAGAGCCCTTCCCCACAACGCCCTGCCAGTGGGCAATTTCCTTTACGATAATTATACGTTCTGGATGGAAAGCCATTGATGGAAATTAAGGAAAAAAAATACTTTAATAGACTAAGAACAACCCAAATTTCAGGAAAAAGAATAAAACTAGGAATCATTGATTAATCTCACTCTACCAACAATATTTCTAAGAATTATTTATTATTATTATTAATTATTCAAGGAGGATGTATTGAAAACGTCATCTGAAGATTTACTTTTTTTTTCAGAAGAATTGTACCGTGTAACTTGAATTAAATCTTCCACAGTACGTTAGTTTTAAGATTTATATAACTGAAAGATAGGGTATAAAAATATACCCGAAAACCCTATGCATTGTCTATCTGTGTTCCCACTAACTTTAGTGGATTTCAAGCAAAACCAATTCAAGCGTACTTTATTAAAATTTTCGTTATAATTCAGAACCTTCTCGAAATTTTTTACATAATCAGACCATCATTCGGTTATTCATCCCACGGAATTGGTGTAACGGAACACCGAAAAAAATGTCCGATTTTACACGGAAAGTTAAACTGGATTTCGCATTTCAATTATCGCGCATTATTGCCAATTAAAATTGATAAAAGTGATTTCGAATAACGAATTCGGGCTCAAAGAGAAATGAACCGAGATGCCTAGGTCATTGAAAAAAGAGAGAACGTTCGACCGTTTCAATTAAGTATTATTTTTATGTGAATGATTCTCACCGTTCGTATACACTTTCATTAGACTCTTGACCTTGTTAAGGTTAGGAGATTACGTTTGTGCATGTATAGGTAGAATTTAAATTTTTTTAATAGAGTGTAACTGTGTCAGAGACATTTTTTATTGGGAGAAAATACGCTTATTTTTGGCTGATAAATATGCCCAGTGAGTTATAAGCGATATTATGCAATTGCAAGTATTATTATTTAGCGAAAACGGCCAAGTGGGTTCGAATTCGCTTGGTTGTAGACATATCAACACTTCTTCAGACACTCGTTTCTGAAACCTTCCACGCTCGTGTCATAAATCGGTACTAAAGCATCGTTTATCAAATTTGTTTCATACTGTACTATTTTCTACTCTCTACTCTAAAGTATCCAATTATACCCGGATCAGGCGTGCACAAACTGTCACTATAAAGTTCGGGAGAAATCGGGAGAAATCCCTGCATCTGTTTTACAGGTTGCAACGCAGCATAGGCTTTTTCTGCCAGTTGCTCTTCTGCCTATTTCGATCGTGAAGAATAACTCGTAGAATAAGATTAATAAGAAATAGAAGAAGAATAAAGTTCTCCAGCTTCGAGCTTATTTATAAGTGTTACGCTCAGCGCCCATGCTTCCACTCCCTCCAATATATCCTATATCTACGACTGAAGTTGAACTTTTCTTATCTCCTCATCTATTCGATGTTTTCGCCATTAACATGTACTGCAGTATTTAGGCTATTGTTGCAGCTAACAACTATGAAATTGGTTTTGTTGTTGTCGTAAAACCAGACGTTGGTTCTTTTCATTAACGCGACTTAGTACAGTTTGGAGGTCAATCACATTATCTACTAGTATGACAGTAGTATTGTTGGCCTGATCTGTAAGCAATGTTAACTTTTATTCTTGATTTTTGAAAATATGAAATTATGAATAGTTTTCTAGCAATGCTATTTTCTTTATAATCTTCAGACGGCTGCCCCGTGCACAGCTCTTATATTAAAATTAGGTGAAATATTATTTTGTTCTGTTGGAAAACGTAACTTTTATTTTTTTATTTCTGAATATTTTGTTTTTTTGGAGAAAGCTTCATGATGGATTTTTTTTTGTTGGGACTGATTTTAAAAAATATCTAGTTACCAAAATTGTTTTTTGCTTCAGGAATATTCAGTATTTTATTTCATAAAATTAATTGCATAAAATTTTCTTTAATTGGATGTATCACAGTTGGTGGTTTCGTTAAAAAAATATGGAAATTTTTATTAACAAGAAACACTTTTAATGAATACGTTTTTGTACAGCCAAAAACTTACCGACGTATATCAAGACGTTCTTTTCATAGTTTAAGGTTTATCAAATATCAAGTCTACGTTACGTCAATAAATTAAATGATTGTGAACATTAAATAAAATGCTATTTTCTTCAAGTCGGTGAATGCTATTCAACTTTGATTGTTGGTTTAAGTAATGAAAGATTGGAATTTGCACTAAAAAAATCATGTAAAGAAGAGTCTGCATTGGCATCAAATTTAATATACAGAATGTTCTAAATTCGAAGAAAAGGAATTACGTGAAGGGAGATCAAAAACTAATCAAAACTGAGTTTATATACAAAACAACGATGTCAAGATTTTTGCAATTTCGGCAAGCGTGAAAAACGTTTTAATGTGAAATGCGAAAATGGTGAACATATACCCAAAGAAAGCACAAGAATAAAAAAAATATTGAGTGTAAACCCCTTGGGGATGTCATTTAATTTTAAAAATATTTAAGAACCAAAAACCGCATACTTAAATTACTTAATTACTAAATAACAAATTACTTAATTCTATTACATTTATCGGAGTTTTGAAAACAAATGCGAAAACTTAAGGAGGTGATTTCTTGCTTTTTACAAAACTTCTGGATTCCTCCTGCGTCGGTTTTTGCTTAGTCGAAATTGCTGACGTTTCGCCAATCATCCTGTTGGCTTCTTCAGAGCTTGACAGAAACTGTTTCAGTCAAGCTCTGAAGAAGCCAACAGGATGATTGGCGAAACGTCAGCAATTTCGACTTAGCAAAAACCGACGCAGGAGGAATCCAGAAGTTTTGTAGAAAGTATTACAGTAGCCTGTGGAAGTTTCTTTGAAAAATTAGGTGATTAATTAATTAATTAATTAATTAATTAAATAATGTTTTAATTGTTTTTATCTATAAGAGATAAAAAAAAATAGATAAAAAATCTATTGCGTTGCTGTCACTTCTTAAGGCGTTTCTTGTTGCTGCATTGCTTATTTAGTTTGAATGCAAAATACCACAAATTTAATAAAAAAATATTATCTGATCATTTAATTGTGCATTAATAAGAGTTTTAATTGAATAATGGAGAATTATCGAAGACTAAAAATGAAGTCCTATTGTCTTACAATACCTAAACGAGACGACATCAGAGGCATAATGGGCATCCAAA